TATAGGTCAATTATTTCGGATAGGCCCCATATATGGGTTCCCCCAATTTTCGGTATTTTTGGGTTCTTGAGCGCGTTTTTCAACCGAATTCACTGAAATTTGGTATTTTGTAGTCGTATATGGTAACAAATCTCTCCACCAAAAATTATTAGTATTCGCCCACTTTTTGGGGTAGTCCCCATATAACCCCATTTTTCATATTAAAATCGTTATCTGATGTGTTCCGTGTTTTGGGTTTTGTTCTAAGACTCTGTTGTAATCTTTTCACCTGTAAGGTTCGATAATGAACTGTATCTATGAATTATAACCCGCATTTAGACCTAGCCCCTGTGCGGGAGGTACCAGAAGGAGTGGACCGATGTTCCCAATCTTCGAAATTTAACAAAGTTTTGAAGAAATAGTAAGATGGATGAAAATATAATTTTGTGAAACGGATTTTGTCCAAAGAAAGATGGGGTCTAAAAAATATATTTCGACGAGGCACATTTTCACCGTGTCAAAGTGTATACACCCTCATTAGCCATAAGGTTGAGGGTATAATTATCCATTAACAATTTTTGAAATTTATATTATGGTTTACATAATCGGTTTGTAGAAATGTCGGTATAGGTCCACTAGGACTTAGCAGACCTCTAGAAAGTCTCTTAACCTCAAAAAAATATTAACCTCAAAAAACCATTTTCTTACCCTAGAAGAGCTGAAGACAATATCCTAGCCTTAGACGAACATTGACCTCAGAGTTAAGATGCTTATAAAATACCTCTTGAAGGACTTTGAAGGTTTACTTCTATTTGAAGACGTTTCAAATAGAAGTACGTTAATCCTCAGAAAATCTCTAGAATTTCTGCTAGTCATTTAAGCTGTTCGGAAGTTCTACGCATAAAAGACCTCTAAAAGGTATTTTGTTTATAAAAAAACCCCTTTTGAAGATCTACTTGAAAGACTCTTCAAGTTATTAAAGCCCGCTGGCAGTTCTAAGCATAGACGACTTCTAGATGGTATTATGCTTATGGAGCGCATTTAAGAACCTACTGCCTGTAGAAAACATTGTAAGCATAAAACACCTTCTGAAGGTTTGCTGCTATTTGAAGACCTCTGAAAGGTTTTCCATCTTTAGAAGAGGACTTCTATATTTACGAGAAGTCCTCATAGGTCCTATATCCTCAGAAAATCTCTATAAGTTTTTTCTAGCTATTGAAGTCCTCTGAAAGCACTAGGAAATTTTTTAAGGTATATTGCCTATACAAGACCTATAGAAATTATTCTGTAAAATAGAAGATTTCTTAGGGGTTTACTGATATTTAAATACCTCTCAACAGTTTGCTATTTTCCTCAAAAAGGCTCTAGAAGTTTTTCTATCTTCTGAAAATCCCTGCCTCCTGAAAACCTCTTAAATCCTTAGAAAGATTTCTCATCTTGTTCGGATACAAAATTTCCCTCCACGCCCATTTTTTCTCCCAGTGCAATTATTTCTATATGTATATAATTGTATAATCCGAAATGCTACCTTGTGCTAACCACCATGTGCATGATTATTTGTTTGTACGAACGAACGAATGTATGTATATATCTGTCTGTGTGTGTGTATGTATGTATGTAGATTGCTTACGTCTTAGTGTACAGAGTATAGAATATTTCGAATTTAGAATGTATAGAGAAATTACAAATAATCATTTACTCAAAGCGTGTCACATTCGAATTTAATCTAAAAATAAAACAAATAGCAAACTAAATTGTATTTACAAAAACAACAACAACAAAAAGAAAACCAAAAATGAAAATAGAAAACTGAAAAATGCAGTGCAGAAAAAATGCAAAAAAAAGAAGAAAAGCGGATCAGTGGCGACCCAAAATTAAAATATTTCAGTACTTTTATTTTATTTTTACAAAATGACAAAGTTGGAAAAAATTTAATGGAATTAATTTAAGTATATAAAATATATACACAATATAATTAAGAAGTTCAAAACGGTCTCAAAATGGGTAGTAAAAGTGTATAAAGAATTTAAGAAAAATGTTTTTTTTTTGTAGTCAAACGGAATTATTTTTTAGGAGAATATCATTTTAAATGATTAAATATTTTATAGACATTTTTATTATTATTATTATTTTTTTTGTAAAATTTTTAATTAAAAATTATATTGAAATTAATATTTTATTTCATTTATAAAAAAATCTGAGCTAAATTCCCCTTTTTACTATAATCGCTGACAATTAATCATAATGAAATTTGCTCTTTGTTCCATGATTCAAAATTTTTGATTTTTATTATTGGTTTTTTTTGCTTGTTTTTGTTTTGGCAATAAATATATATTGTTTTGTCTGTGAAATAAATAAATAAAAAAAAACAAAAATCCACAGACAAACAAACAAAATCATAAAAAATACGAAGGCGTGAATGCCGGAAAAATGCTATAAAACAAAATTTAATGGTAAACAATCTATTAAATCAATCGATTCAAGCAAAGGCGAAATGAAATCCATTTCACAAAAACCACTAAAATATTTAATAAAAAAAACACACCCAAGGATGAAGGACCTTTTTAGAATTCTGTGGAAAGAAGGTCTCTAAAATATAAACCTCAGATGATCCTCTATGAAAAATATGATTGTCCCACCTTCTATGATATTCTGCGTTATTGATTCTATGTATCAGGAAACAAAGTTGATATTCGATGAAATTTAAAATGTTGGGAACGAACTTGCGCCGGGTCATCTTCGGTTCTGCTTGTAACCCACTGGTATATTATAATATGAACAGTTACTTGTCATCTAATAAAATACAGACATGGAGTATTTCTAGAAAAGTATTTTATATTGAATATCTCTGGAAGATATTCTACATATACACGACCGTTAGTATGTATTTAGAATGACTTTAAGCATTAGAAGACCTCTGAACCTCAGGGTATTGTAACTTTGTGCAGTTCCACCTATACCCACCTTTAAGTATTGATCCGCCCGTCAGTCCATTATAATCTGTAAATACGATAGAGGCCACAGTTATGAACCAATCGTTACGACGGGTTCTGGCCAACGAAGACCCCAATTTTTTGTAATGATCCATTAATATTTAAGGGAATGAAATGGAAGGGAGTCTAACAAAAGAATAAGCATGGGCATTTTGATGAAGAACGGTCAATATTTTGACTACAAAAATAGTATATCCAAGAGGTGTGAATGACCTTTGAATTGATAGCTATTATATTGTTGCATCACTTGTGGGATATATATATATAAATTGGAAAATATGAAAGGATCACTTTGAAGAAATTGGAAAATATGAAAGGCTTAGAAAGTGGGTCAGCAGGGTGCAAATATCGCGAAATATTACACAGGCTTGGAATATAGAACCGCAGAAAGTTAGATTTTCATGGTAGTAGTGTAAGGTATCATGGTATCACCTCCGTCCGAATATACTTCTCCGCTCACTGGCTTTTAATGTTATTGTGTTTTTTTTTTACATTTTTTCTGAGTGTAAAAAATAAAATTAAAAATCCAATTCGATATATGATTCATTTTGAATAGACCTTTTGTGGATATATATATATATATATATATATATAAAATGTCAATAAAAAGTTCTACTTAAAAATAATAATTTTAATGGGATTTTCCTTAATTTTTTTGGGTGTAAAATTTGAAAATTTTCTATATTTAATAATAAATAACAACATTGATTTTTCAATATATTTTTCTTTGAGTGTAAAAGTCTTTTACCAAATTTAGTACCCATAATATTAATTTGTTAAACTGAATCCTGACCCTAATCCTACAATGATCCTAACTCCAAACTTCATTGTTCCAGCTCTATCGGTTCACCCAAATCCAAATTGTACCAATTATAGTACGATTTAGTACCCAATCCTACACTTCGACGGCAATGTTAATTAAAATTTTCAGGATTCCAACTCGATTTGTACCTCCAAATTAAATTTGTACCGAATCGCCAAATACAAATGATACCATATTTAGTTCTTTTTAGTACTTTTCGTGCCGTTCTAGTACGAACTTCCAAAAACCCAGCCTTATCTGTCACCTTTGGACCAAGATTCAGCCGTTTCGTCTGGGCGTTCACGAATCGTTAAATCAGTCAGTCAATCACTTTACTCTTTTATTAGTATAGATAAAAACGCTGCATTTTATTATTTCACTATAACCGACAATTGTATTTTTTTCTAAAGTGTAAAAATGTCTAATTAACGAAAATTTTTATTGGAGTGTATAATTTCTGTTATAAGGAAAATACAATTTTTACGAGCCCAAAATCATTTTGTTAAAATCTGTATAACATAAGAGTGCCCCTAATATACGACATATCATCATAACAGTTTGTTCATTAATTTCTTATAACCGATTATTTTTTTCTTTATAGCCGATATTTCGTTAAAAAATTATTCGATTATAGATCAAATATTAATTGGCAAACTCAAATTCAATTCAAAACGAAATTTCATTCATACAAATTGTCGATTCGTAGATTTTTAATTCAAACAAAAAAAATATATATATAAAAAAATGTTAAATATCAAAACGTGAAGAAGAAGAGTCAGACAATGACAACAACGATCAACAAAATAAAAAAATATTTTAAATAAATAAAAAAAATTATTTCAATTATTAACCAAATAGAAAAAAATATATGAGGCAGTGAGTGATCGTGTCGGCGGCGGAATTTTGGGCAAGTGTTAAAAATTTGGGCAAATAAAAGGAAGTTTTAAATGGATTTCCAAGAATCAATGGATCAATGGGTGTGGGTTGTGTTGTGAGATGTTATGGGAGAGTTACGAGAGAGTGAGAGGAGGTCGTGACTTTAATGGGTAATGTAGGGGGATGCTAGCTGATATTTTGTGTATTGATTTGGAGATATAATGAATGGGTAACGATATATATTTTAATTTTTTTATTAGAAGTGGGGTACGGAAGAGGTAATTTACTTATTGTCCCTTCCACACCCCACCACCATGAGGATGAAATTCTTCTCTGAAGCAGCAACTTACCTTGAGGCAGGTATAGCACGTATCAGTTGATGTGTTTGATGATGTTGTTGTTGTTGCTGTAATTTTCCTGGTGATGAATTTGTTATCGATGCCGAGGACGTTGATGAGGACGAGGATGATGCTGATGTTGTTGTATTACTGCTGAGATTTGTTGTGACATTTTGTTGTTGTTGTTGTTGCTGCTGTTGATGATGATGTTGTTGGTGTTGTTGTGTTATGTGTAGACTGTTGCTGCTGGGAGAGGTACTTAAATTACTGCTTAAATTTGTACTTGAATTAGGGCTACTTGTTTGCATTTGTTGTTGTTGTTGCTGCTGCTGATGTTGTTGTTGTTGATGTTGCTGCTGCTGTTGTATTTCAACATGTTGATCAAACCCAAAACCACTATCATTGGAATTATCACAGGGTGGCGGATGCGGTCGTGGCGGGAATCTTTTACCGGGGACTAGTTTTCCTGGACCAATCTGGAGGAGAAGAGGGAGAGAGGGGGGAATGTGAAACAAAAATAACAAAGGAAGAAGGTTAAAAAAGAGACAGAGAGAGAGAGAGTGAGGAAAAATGCGGAGAGCCTATATTATCCAATAAGGTGAATAAAATTATTCACAATGGTTGATAAAATTTGGATATAATTATACACAGTAGTGGATAAAATTATCCACATTAGTGGATAACATTGCACACAGTGGTAGATAATATTATCCGCTATGATAGATAAAATTATTCACAGTGGTTATTAAAATAATCCACAGTGGTGGAGAAAAATATGATGGATTTTTATCCACCATATTTTCATCCTCATCCACATTAATGGATGAAATTATCCACAGTGGTGGATAAAATTATCCACAGTGGTGGATAAAATTATCCACAGTGGTGGATAAAATTATCCACAGTGTGGTAAAATTATCCACAGTGGTGGGTAAAATTATCTGCAATGGTGAAAAAATGATCTACAATGGTTGATAAAATCATCAACAGTGTTGGGTAAAATTTATGGATAAAATTATTCAAAGTGGTAGATAAAATGATCCACAATGGTGAATAAAATTATTCACAATAGTGGATAAAATTATCCGCTGTGGTGGATAAAATTAATCGCTATGGTGGAAAAATTTATCCGCTATGGTGGATAAATTTATCCGCTATGATGGATAAATTTATCCACTATGGTGGATAAATTTATCCGCTGTGGTGTATAAATTTATCCGCAATGGTGGATAATTTTATCCACTATGGTGGATAAATTTATCCGCTATGGTGGATAATTTATCCGCTTTGGTGGATAAATTTATCCGCTTTAGTGGATAAATTCATCCGCTATGGTGGATGAAATTAGCCTCAATGAAATTAGCCTACACAGTGGTGGATAAAATTATCAAGTTGTGTGTAAAAAATCGACAGTGGTGGATAAAAATATCGACAGTGGTGATGAAATAATCCACTAGGGGAGATAAAATTATCCACCATGGCCAATAAAAATAATCCTTAATGGTGGATATTATCCACAATGGTGGATAAAATTATCCTCTGTGGTGGATAAATTTATCTGCTATGGTAGATAAATTTATCTGCTATGCTGGATAAAATTTTCCACTATGTTGGATAAAATGATCCACTATATGATAAAATGATCCACTATGGTGGATAAAATTATCCATTGTGGTAGATAAAGTTATCCACTGCGGTGGATAAAATTATCCACTGTGGTGGATAAAATTATCCACTGTGGTGGATAAAATTATCCGCTGTGGTGGATACAAATTATCCACAATGGTGAATACAAATTATCCCAAATGGAGGATAAAAATTATCCACATTGGGGGATAAAATTATACACAGGATAAAATTATACACAGTTGTGGATAATATTATCCACAGTGGTGGATAAAATTATCCACAGTGGTGGATAAAATTATCCAAAGTGGTGGATAAAATTATCCACAGTGGTGGATAAAATTATCCAAAGTGGTGGATAAAATTATCCACAGTGGTGCATAAAATTATCCACAAAGGTGGATTAAAATTATCCATAGTGGTGAAAAAAATTATCCACAGTGGTGGATAAAATTATTCACAGTGGTGGATAAAATTATCCACTATGGTGGATAAAATTTTCCACTCTGGTGGGTAGAATAAAAGTTATCCACAGTGGTGGTTGAAATTATCCACTCTGGGGTGGATAAAATTATCCGCCTTTGTGGATAGAATTACTCGTTATTGCCCATTAAAATTATCGACAATGTTGGGTAAAATTATCTACTATGGTGAATGGTTATCTGCTATGGTGGATAAAAATTATCCACAAAGGTCTATAAAAAAATATCCACTGAGGTGAATAAAAATACTCCACTGTGGTGAGTAAAATTATCCTCTGTGGCGAATAGAAATTATTCCATATGGTGAATAAAATATTTGAAAAAGGTGAATAAAAACAAATCTCAACTTACCCTGGACATTGAGTGCAGTTTACCAGGAAATGCCTTGCCCGGATGCCGTTTTGATGGCGTCCGAAAACCTTTACGATGGATACGCGGGTTCAGTGTTGACATGGTGGACATTGCGGTACGCATACCTAAAAGAAGAAGAAAAAAAAAACAAAAGAGAACATAAAAATTATTATCAGACATTGTCCCGCAGCAGCATCTATTAATGTTATTATTGTTATGATTATTATTACTAGTATTGTTGTTGTTTTTATTGTAGAAAATCATATTCAATTGCAATTTATTTGTCAGAAATAACTGTTCGGATGATGATGGTGATGGTACGCGACAGCAAAACTAAGCGTAAAGCTATTCTTTTCATTGTTGCTACTATTATTGTAACGATTTGTTATTGTTGTTGGTTATGTTGTTGTTTGTGCATTTTTCGACGCATGATTTCAAATTGCCCTCAAGGAAAAAGTTATATAGTCATCTATAGATGTGTGAGGATGTGTGTGTCTGTAGCACTGATAAAGTTAAAGTCCAACGCCCTCTCATATGGCAGCCAAGCTTCTGCAGGCAACCTCAATATCAGATACATTTGTTTTTATTGTTCTTTTTTCAATTCAGAATATGCAACTGAGTAGCAACAACAATAACAAAATAAATATATTGTGTGCACATATATAAAATTACAATAAATTGTAAAAATATATGAAAAAAAAATTTTACTCTATTCAAGATAAAAAAAGTTAGCTGTCCAGACATTAAACAATGTTGAAAATAACTGGGGAGAGAAAACTATTTGAAAAATAAACAAATTTTATATTTAATAAAAAAAATTATTTAGCTCATATGGCATTTTAGCTAAGAAGAAAAAAATTAGTGTCTATTCACTCCACTCACTTGTAGGCTGATCAATGTAGCTGACCGGCCGATCGACCGGCTGCTTGGTGATGGTGTTGAATTGTCACCATTACGAAAGTATTGAGACATATATACATATACACGTACATATATCTACAATCATTGTTATTGGCACACACAACAAAAGAAAAAATTGAAAAGAAATGGACCCACAGCTGAACGACGGACGACGTCGTGGACCCCAAACAAATCAGTACCAATAACAAGAGGCGATTGCTGGCTGCAGCAGTCCATAGCAATTACAAAGACGTTCGCTCGGTGGGTCGGTGATTAGGTTGGCGATCCCAATGCTTGTTTTTTTTTCTTACAGTATGTGACAATAAATTGGGTTAAATTATTTGAATGTTTAAAAAATTTACTCAGCGGAAGATCAATGGATCTTCTCTAGAAAATCCATTGATCTTCAATAGAAGAAGGCCAAAAGATCTTCAATAGAAGATCTTTATATTTTCGATAAGAGATCTACTGATCTTCAGTAGAAGATCTACTGATTTTTAGTAGAAGATCTACTAATCTTCAGTAGAAGATCTACTGATCTTCAGTAGAAGGTCTACAGATCTTCAGTAGAAGATCTGTAGAAGATCTACTGATCTTCAGTAAAAGACCTATTGATCTTTGGTAGAAGATTTCTTGATCTTCGACAGAAGATCTACCGATCTTCAGTAGAAGATCTACCGATCTTCAGTAGAAGATCTACCGATCTTCAGTAGAAGATCTACCGATCTTCAGTAGAAGATCTACCGATCTTCAGTAGAAGATCTACTGATCTTCAGTAGAAAATCTACGGATCTTCAACAGAATATATGACGATCTTTAATATAAAATCTGGGAATCTTCAATAGAAGATGTAATGATCTTTACCTCAAGATATGATGATCTTCACAAGAAGAATATCTACTGATCTTCAATAGAAGATCTGCATATCTTCTATGGAAGATCTATCGATTTGCGATAGAAACTCTACTGATCTTCTGTTGAATGTCTACTGATCTTCAATGATCTTAATTTCCTTGATTTTCGGTTGCGGAAATTTCTTGAGTTTTTTTTTTATTCATTTTTTGATTTAAAATTCAGTTATTTTATTTTTCTAAAAAATATATTTTTTTTAATTATTTATTTTATTTTTTTTTAATTTTTTTATTTTTTTTTTCTAAAATTTCTTTATTTTCTATTTTTATTTTGTAATATTTATTTTGCATTGTTGCTTTATTTATTTTGTTATGTTTTGCTTTGTTCGAGAGTTCATTGAACTTCATCTAGCCAAGGTATACACCCTGACATCTATACTTCATCACATCGCAGAGCTCCTCATCAGAGTAGCGCATTTTTTCTTGATACGCTGCCTGCCTGCATTCTTTTGCTTTGTTGAGATGACAACAACATTTGCATTTAAATACTATTTTGCATAATCTCTCGGGTGGGTGTTGTAGTTGTTGTTGGATTTAAATATTTAAAGACATTTTTTACTTAAAGAAACGCAGCTGAACTACTTCGATTTTACTAGAGGTAAGGATCTTCACCAGAAGATCTGAGGATTTTCACTGACGGATCTAAGGACCTGCATTAGAAGATCTGGGGATAGACAGTAAAAGATCTTAGGATATTCTGCACAATATTTTGGGATCTTCACAAGAAGATCTGAGAATTTCCATTGGAAGATCTGTGGATCTTCACTAGAAAATTTTGAAAATCTTCACTAAAGATCCTTACTAGAAGATCTGAGGATAATTACAAGAAGATCTTAGGATCTTCACTAGATGATTTTAAATCCTCGATATTCATAAATAAATTTGAGAATTTTCATTAGCAACTGAGGACGTTCTCTAGAAGATCGGAGGATACTCAGCGTAAGATCAATAGATCTTCTCTAGAAAATCTATTGATCTTCAGTAGATGACTGATCTTTAATAAAAGACCAACTGATCTTCAATAGAAGATCTACTGATCTTCAATAGAAGATCTCCCGAATTTCAATGCAAGAAATACAGATCTTCAATAAAAGGCCAACTGATATTCAATTGAAGACCTACTGATTTTCGATAGATGATCTACTGATTTTCGATAGAAGATCTATTGATCTTCAGTAGGAGATCTACTGATATTCAGTAGAAGATCTACTGATCTTCAGTAGATGATCTACTGATCTTCAGTATAAGATCTACTGATCTTCAGTAGAAGATCTACTGATCTTCAGTAGAAGATCTACTGATCTTCAGTAGAAGATCTACTGATCTTCAGTAGAAGATCTACTGATCTTCAGTAGAAGATCTACTGATCTTCAGTAGAAGATCTACTGATCTTCAGTATAAGATCTACTGATCTTCAGTATAAGATCTACTGATCTTCAGTATAACATCTTCAGTAGAAGATCTACCGATCTTCAGTAGAAGCTCTACTGAGATATACTGACCTTCAGTAGAAGATCTACTGATCGACAATAGAAAATCTATCAATTCTCGATTGAAGATCTACTGATCTTCAATAGAAGATTTACTGATCTTCAGTAGAAGTTCTACTGATCTTTAGTAGAAAATCTACTGATCTTCGGTAGAAGATCTATTGACCTTCAATAGATGATTTAGTGATCTTCAATAGAAATCTTTAGATTTTCGATTAAAAATCTTCAGAAGATCTATGGATCTTCAATAGAAGCCATAACGATCATCAATTACAAAATCTCAAAAGTAAACATTTTAAAGGATCATTAGAATGTTGTGTCGAAGGTATCTGAAGGTCGATATATTTCTATAGAATATTTAGAAACCAAGAAGGTTTTCTCATGGTTCTTTAAAGAAAGCATTGAGGATTTTTTGATAGAAAATTCCTGAAGTCTTCCAAAGATCCTCTTTTGATCTTATCTTGTAGTTCTCGTGATCATCAGAGCATTTGCAATTCCTCATTGGAAAACCACTAGAAATTGAAATAGTTTGTCTGAAGATGTTGAGATCGTATTTTAAAGTTCATATTAGGTAGATTTTCTATTACCAGTAGATTTGCTTACATGACTGGGTCTTAGAAAAGATCCCTGAATAATTTCTATACAAAACCGTGATATTTTCTTTCATGAAATTGCTAAATTCTTCAAATGTGATATCTGTAAAAAAATCGAAGAGAAGTTTGTGAAATTTTCTATAGAAAATTAAAATAAAAAAAATCTCCTCATACATTTTGAGAGATTTTCTATATCTTACTTAAAAGGGACCAGTGGATTTTCTTCTATATATCTGGGATTAATAAATATGCCCGGGCCACTTAATAGAAAAACTATGGGATCTTCTTATGGAAAATTCCCGAGTTCTGGAGAAAGGAGACCAGACGAATCCTTTTAAGTAGAATAGAAAATTTTCAGAGAACTTTTTATGTTAGATCAGGAAAATAGGCATAAGAAGAGAAGTTGGAGAAGATTTTCAATTGATCATAAAAGGATCATCGGGTCATTATTGTAAAGCGAGAAGATTTCGCTTGGAGATTTTGATATCTTATTTGGAAGATTGATTGATCCGTAGAAATTCTGGAGATATCGTCTTAAAGATAATTAGAAGATCGTCGTCCGAAATTCTGGAGATATCGTCTTAATGATAATTAGAAGATCGTCATACGAAATTTAATATTACTACTTTTTATAGAAGACCGGAACATTTTGTTCAAATAAAATATCTCTGAGGTAATTTTAAATCAAAAATGTGTAACTTTCCTCCAAAAAATTTCCGAGATCTTCAAAAATGACTTCAACAAACAATTATTTTCGAGTTCCTTAGATCTTCTTATGGCAGATTTTCAAGACAAATATTGCAAAAAAAAATTAAATTTTATGTTTACAATTTATTTTGTAAACTCCTAAAGATCTTGGCCTCTTTTTATAATTTGTTTTTTATTATAAAAAATATTTTCTTGTGTTACAAAAAATGTACACAACTGATTTTAAATTTCAGATAAATAATAACAATTAAGAGAAGGAAAAGAAATATCTGTTGTTTATTGATATTATATATATATTTCTTCATCCTCCTCTTATTTTTTTCCGCTCCACCAATATAATTTTATTACTTGAAAGGTATGGCAAGGCGTCGGCGTTAAGCATTGAATCGTAACAGCAAACTCAAAATCAATATTTATATGAGGGCCTCCAATATTAAATAAATATTTATATTTAATTCGAATACATACTTTTATTTCGCCTTACTTGGAAGAAGGGCGAAAAAACAAATGTTTGTAATAAAAA